AGACCCATCTGCAAAACAGGCAGTGAAGGAAATAAAAAACCATCTTTCCTTTGGAATTACCACAACAAGTTCTTGCTTCAGTAGGCATTTTATTGCTATCTGTATAATTATGGCAGAATATATTACTAGTAATAAAATCCTCAAAGTGTATTTCAGAACGTAAGAAATAGCAGCTATACCTCCATTCCTCTTCCCCCAGCAGCAAGCACGTGGCCTGGGAGGGGTCTCACCCACCCTTCGCCGCTGGCAGAGTTCTGCCCGTGGGTGTGTTTCTGCAGCCCGGCCCTCTAGAAGCCAGCCATGTGCTTCTGTGGGCTGAGTCCATCAGTGAATTATGTTTTGTTTTCTGTCAGCTGCCTGACAGCTAAAATCATAGTTACTGTCAGAGGTGACAGGGGCCACAATGGTGATGTATTGAAATGCCTCAGTGTCACGGGGGAGCAGGTTGGGCAGTTGCTCTGGCCCCTCCATTGTCACCTGCTTCCTGCAGCGTGTGACCAGAGCTGGTATTCCTGGGACTGAACGGTGCAGGGGAGTGCCACAGCGAGATGCCATGTCATTGAAAACATGCCAGCTTCATACGGGTCTCTTAATAGGCTTACAGTGTTGGCAAAACCCTACCCCTTAATTGCATTGTGTGTCAAAATGCAAAATCCATCTCTGCAATTAACCCCAAGCACTGGATTATAAAGCATTTGGTTATGTTCAAAGGAATATTTAAACTCACAGACAATAGGCTTAATTTTCCCAAAATGACTGATTTGTCATTGTCTCAGCCCCCATCCCCACTGGAGACCAAAGTGACGTGCCCTTTGAACTGGTGCTAAGCCCAGCTTTATGACATCACGGCTCACGGAATAGAAGCCTGATGTTCTCTTGCTGTACCCCAGCCCCTTAGAGGATGATCTCTGGGCATCCTTTCTTCTGTGTCTGTCTAGACTCCTCCCCTCTCCTTTTCCTGGGTTCCCGTGGGATTCACAGGAGCTCCTTACGGGACTGAATCTGGCTTCGAAGCGTTATTGGTGGAAACACACCACCCTGAGGGGTGGCTACCACCACTTGAGCCCTTGCCAAGGGGCCGGCCGTCATGAAATGCACCTGCTGCCCACGTGCCGCTCACCCGGGGTGCGGGAGGACCGGTGATGGGAGAACTGAGGCCAGGCCCACCTTTAAACCCACACTTTCCCTCTTGGCCTCAGCTCCCAAACTCACAAGCAGCGAGCTCGACTGGCCTCTGTTTCGAACAGTGGACACGTTGGCCCGGCTCTGGCTTCCTGGGTGTGCGGCTGTGCAGTCCCCAGGGCCCTGCACTTGGAAAGGCCTCACGCTTGGGGTCTGAGGGTCTGCGGTTGCTGAGCCCTGAAATTCTTACTCATTTTGTCTTTGGATTTGTGTTTTCTAAGAGAAGTCCGATGGGATAATAGCATGTGCGCCGGGGACTTCAGAGCCTTAAGCACAGTGCCACCTCCTGGGCCTCCCTGCCATCCTCAGAAAGGTTCTCAGGTGTCTGTCCCCCAGTGCCCTGGCACCCCAGGTCCTGCCCACTCTCCCCCATCCCCTCCCCTCTTCTCCATCACAGCCACCCCCTGCCTGGATGCCTGTGTGCTGCTGCGCTCGGGTGGGGCCCGAGCACAGACACAGGGAAGGTGGGGATCAGGTATGTGCCCCTCAGCATCTCATGGTCAATGGTGGCCGTTCCTACCCTGGACTGGCAGTGCCTTTGACTGGAGATGCAGCCAGGGCCTCTCACTCACTCCCGTCTCAGATCTTGAGCACGTCCCAGTGCAGAAGTTGCAAATCTTTGGGGGTTTCCCATCTGTGGTGGGTTGGGAGCCAGTCATGCAGAGGGGAGATTGACTTTCTTTCCCTTGGCCCAGGTGCTGCATTTTCATCTTGTGTTAGCCCAGCTGAGGATGCAGCTGACTCTGCTGAGGTCCTTATATAGAAGCAGCAATATTAGGACAAGAATATGGTGGTGTTTCAGGCTGTGGTGTCAGCACTGTCTCAGGGGAAGGGCACCTGATGCCTTGGCCTCACCCAGCTGAACGCTTTTCAGAGTATAGTAGACTGCACATTTTCTGTTTGGAAAAAATTGTAAGTCAGTAGAAAAACAAATTTTCCGTATAGATGCCACAAACCAGAGAAGCCAAGCAATTGGATGGCCCTCTTCTCCCTGTGCCTTCATATCACCTTCCCTGTGTTGTATTTCTGTGTCCAAGTTTCACGTTTTTATAAGGGCACCAGTCGTATTGGGTTAGGGCTCATCTCGTGACTTCATTTTAACTCGGCTGCCCCTGTAGAGACCCTGTGTCTAACTAACGTACGGGGAGTGAGGACTTCAACATATGTGTGTCTGTGGAGGGACATGAGTTAACCCATAACAAACTGTACGCGTGCACACAGAGGGAGAGAGGGAGATGAAGTGCAGGGACGATTCCATCATGCTCCCACGGAGAGATGGCCGGTGTGCAGGAAGAAGGGGGAGACAGGAGACGTAACCTCGCTTCTTTCCTTCGTTAGATTTGGTTCCTAAATACCTTCCGAGGTGTGAGCATCTCACTTTGTAATTATAATATTTTTGGAGAGCTGTTTTTCACAGAGTCTGGCCCCCAAAGACAAACCAGCCACAGACTCTGCTGAAGAGCTAAGGAGACCCTGACCTGTGACCTGCGAGAGATGCTGGGCTGCTCTCCAGGGGAGAGAAGGAGACTGTGGTACTGAAGTGTGGCTGGTCTAGGGGGTTTTCAAGGGAAGCTCAGGCCCATGGTGATTGTTTCTCTGGGCACTGACTTCAGAATCCAACCCTAATAAAACCACAAATGCAGTGTCTCCATCATAGCAATGATGGTTCCTGAAGCTCAGAGGGTTAAGTTCCTCCCTTAAGACTGTGCAGCTAGAATACAGCAGAGCTCACCTTTGGTCATGGATTCTAGGCCTGACTGACTCCAAAATCCATGCCTCATTATCTGAAATTTTCCGCTGGGCCAAGGCGGGTTGGGGGGCAGGGTTGGTGTGTCCCCTGCTACCCCAAGTTCGAGGACTGAGGTGCCATTTTCCCCTAGAATGGAGAATGTCCTTTCTTCAAACTCACTTTTTATTTTTCCAGAGAAAACGACCTATATAAAGGCCCAACCTGAAACTGACTCCTACATTTTCTCTCTTGCGCCCTGAAGTTACGGGAACAGGCAGGGAGAACCACCTGCCCACAGGCAGAGAGAGCACCCTTAGAAGGGGCTCTGGGGGACAAATATTTTCTCGGAAGATCAGCTTCAGGACTAAGTGCCTAGGAAACTCAGCATGTCTAATCGTAGGCTAATGTCAGATCAGGTGCCCAAGAGAGAAAGCCATTGACCATGAACTTAGCTCGCGGAGGGAGAGGGGGCAGGGGCGGAGGGTGTGCCGATGAGACCAAACCCAGAACGGGCATCAAGAATCACGCGCGGAGGCAGAAGTTGGAAACGTTGGAACCTGTTAGGTGGGCAGGGCTTGGAGGCTGACTTCAACGGCAAGTTCATTTTCTTGATTTCTATGTAGGGTTTTCCTAAGGAATCGGTGAGATGAAAATGTTAATCTAGTTTCTCTTCCTTATTTCTACCCTTCAGACTCATAAAATGTGAGTGTTAGTAGGTACGTGGGTCCAAGCAATGCCTCCAAATTTATGTGTGTGACAGAAACAACCGCACATCTCCAAAGAGCGCCCTTTGCTGAGCCCCCTTCCCGTGTACTTGATAAATCCTGGGAGTGTCCTGTCACTGCTTTCTTCTCCCCTGAAGCCCCAGACACACATCCAACTCCGCACTCACTGCCCACTTCCCCCACAGGCTGTAAGCTCCAGAAGGCAGAGACCGTAGGCACACAGGAGGTGCTCAGCAAACACCAATGAAATCCATGAGTGCCCATTTTACAGATGATGAAGGGGGACCACTGAGGCAGACAGTAACTTGCCCAAGGCTCACACTCGGACCTGACCCTGCATTGGGTACCTGCTCATTCAGGCTGCCTTCACTCAGTGTCATACTGCTGTGTGACCAGAGGCTCCCCTCTGAGCTTCAGGTCCCCAGGGGCAGTCACACTGAATGCATTGGTCTTCCCTTGTTTCATCCAAAATTTGCATCTGGAGGAAATTGCATCAAAGTGCACTTTCCTGACAGCAGAAGATGGCTGCTGGCACACGGAGGAGTGACGGGGGAGGCACAGGGAGGAGGCTGGGAGGGTGCAGGGAGAGCGTCTGGTGCCCAGGGTGTTGGAGACTGTGACTGCGATGGCCCCATGAAGCAGTAATTGGGACAGATGCTTTCTTGGGCTTTTCACTGAAGAGGACCCCGGACAGCAGCCGATGGGGCCCCCTGGACAGGCAGGTGGGCAAGTACTGGCCACTTTGAAGCAGCATTTTAGATTCAGAAAATGCATGGAATGTGCAGAAAACAGAGCCTGTGTCAGGTGAGGTGGTGCTCTTGGGAGTCATTGGCCAAGGTCTTCTCTTGGAAGCCACGCTCTGGGCATGGGGAAACATGTCCCTCCGGCTGGGTAAACGTGTAGGGCATGTCCCTGCTTGGAGTGACGACCGCAGTGACAACAGTGGCAGCCCGTCCTCATGGGGAGAGACTCGGCTGCAGACACACTGCCCCGGTGACTGTCCCTAGGGGCAGGGGAATCAGGTCCCTTGGAGAATCCTGGGAATAGGATGTTGAGTGGTATTTTCTGTGACATCAGAATCAGTGACCAGGATCCACTGGGGATCAAGGTGCTCCACTGGCCCCTCACCAAGTGCCTGCTGCCCACAGCCCCTCTCCCTGCGTCAACAGGAAGCAGCTGAGCAGTGAGCAGGAGAGCTGGTCCAGAGGAGGCTGCTGTGATTCTCTCCTCCCCGGAGGGGTGTGAACCAGAGGCCTCCAAACTCCAGTGGGAGGGGCTGTAGGAGGATCCCTCGTGGAGACTGGGCATATCTGTCGGAAGGGGAGCCTGACATACCATTTCCTGATTGCTCATGACCCCGCAGCAGGGTGGCTGAGGTTCTGTCTGCATCGACCTGAGCAGGGAGAAGGGACGGAAGAGATGGCAGGGCGGAGAGAGGAGGCGGCAGCGCAGCGCTCGGAACTCCTGTGGTTTGGTGAGACGAGGCGCACGGCTGCCTGGGGGCCAACCAGACACCACAGGAGGCAGCCCAGCCTGGAGTTCTGATACAAGCCAAGAGGTAGGAGCAGGCCGGGGTGGGTGCCCGCCGGGTCAGGGACTCACTTCCCTGCCCCAGAGCTCCCCAACAACTCCCACACGGGCCCTGCGTCAGGCCCGGGGCCTGGGCTGTGAGTGACGAGCCAGTGTTAGTAAAGAGAAGACCCCAGCAGCTCAGGGAAGTGCGAGTGGCTCCTTTCTGCCCGTGTGCATCGAGGAAGCCCAGAGAGTCAAGGGGAAGAGCAGGAAAAGGGCAGGTCAGGGGACTTAGGTGGGGAGGAAGGAGTAAATGATTGTGACACCCCGCCCTGTCCAAACCCAAAATACTGGGGGAGGAGGAGGATGCCACTGAGGACCGTGCTCCCCCACATGAAGACAAATAACATTTGCATGTCAAATTATAAATAATGACAATGACTGCAAGCATCCATGATGGGCAGACACCTCCCAACTTGACGTAAAGCAGGATCAGCAGGATTGGTTTTCCCTCTGGCCGCAGGCTGCAATGTGGCCTGGCCTGGCACTGCTCCCTGCGCCCGGGAAAGGGCATCTTGGCCCTGGAGGGCACATCTGGCTCCACACCAGGGTGTCCACTGCACTCAGGAAGAAGGGAAGCAGGTTTGGGACGCAGGCAGTCAGACTCTGCAGTCTGGATGCTTAACCACTGCCCTCTACTGCTTGGAGGCATCTAGAGGAAGGATTTTAAGGGAGAGGTGTGACCAGAGCCACAGGGAAAGTTGTCAGGTGTCTGGGGTTCCAAAGTGAAATCTACTCACTGTTCTGCGAAATGGAAATGCCAGCAGGGCCGCGCTCAGCTGGGAGCAGGATCATTGTGTTCTGGGGTCTGTGCTATGGGCACGTGGACCCTTCTGGACTCGGGAGACAAAGGCGCCCACGTGGGATGCTGAGAGGTTACTGTGCTGCCGATGACACAATCAAATCACGGTCACCGTGTCCAAGGACAAAGGCATTTTTGCTTTTCTCTCTCCTGCCCTCAGCCCACACTTTCCAGTGATGTAGGGCCCCTGCCTGGACATATTCACTGCTTCTTAAGTGACAAATCTGGGAGGTTTTATGTCCCACGTGCTGGGTCTTTGAACTTGAGGCAGATAGGCTTTGGGCTCAGAGGGATGGATGGATGGATGGTCTCTGTACATTGACCCCTACCCTTCATCCCAAAGACGCCCCCCCCCCGCCCCGCCCAAGGCCACCTGAGCAATTCACTTTTCTCCCCCAGGCCTTGATCTCCCCTCCTCCCCTGCCCACCAACAGAACTTAAAACAAGAGACACCCTTCCTTTTCCAACTGTTACAAACCCCTGGCCTTGCAGGTCTCGGGCTGATGGCCGCAGCTCGTGGTCTGTCTGTAAATGAGGCTCCGCACACGTGATGGATGGCCCCACGCCCTGGACATACCCGTGACCTAACGGGAAGGACCCCCGCTTAACTATGTAACAGTACCGTTTTGGACCCAACCCCTTGGGATGGCATTATCCAGAGCTGATCATCTCTTATCCGTAAACATTGTCCATGGGAACTAGTAACCAGTAACTCCCACCCCACGTTGAGTGATGGAGGATGTATCTCGGCCTTGAACTGTGGGAGCCCCTGGCCTCCTGAACAAACATCACATCAAAGGTTATTCTCTGTTCTTCCCGTCAAGCTTCAATTTAGCAAAATTAGGATATGGATGTTCCTTTATTCTCTGTGATCACAAATATACTGCCAGATTTCTTTTTTTCTGCCAGAGAGTTTATTATCCCTCCTCTACTCAGCGTCAAGGTTGTCAGAAGCATAACTTATTCATATTTCTGACCTCTGGGGAGGACACTATCCAGGGGGTCAGGGAGTGTTATTGGATGTCAGGATGAAAATTCACTGCTCGGCTCCCTTCACAGTGCTACACTGAACCAGGCCCGTGCAAATGCTGCTGAGGCGTGGGCTGTTGTAATTACCCCTGCAGAACGACCTCCTCCTCATTCGTAATTACGCAATACGTAGAGCTTTCCCAGAGTCCCCGGCCTGGGAACTACCTGGAGCCTGCTTTTGTTTCTCTGTGAGGAGGTGGTGGTCTGCGATTGCTGTGCCTTTGCTGAGCCAGCGCCCGTGACTGCCTGGGGGCCTGGACGGGGCTGCGGGCCGCGGAGCATCCTGCCCTGGGCTGGGCCATCCCGCGCGTGCGGTCCCCTTGCCGGGCCACTCAGAGACCTGGCTCCTCCTCGCGGGGGTCACGCTGCAGCTCCGGAGCGTCAGAGCCCAGGCAGCCCTGGAGGCGTAATGATTTTCTGAGAACCGTGAGGAGAGGCCGAGAGGGCCGGAGGAACAATTAATCAATGCTAAATAATAACAATAGTTATTCTCTGATGCATTGACGGAGTAAATCCCTCATTCTGACCCACAGTAGATGCAGCCCGGACGTGCGCAGCGGAGCCTGTCGGCTCATTAGAGTGCTGGCCAGGCGGCACCTTACGTGCCGTCCAGAGGGTTCTATTTTCCCGGCCACTTTAAACGGCCTGGAAAGAGCTTTGCAAACCCCCCTGTGTTTTGGTTGGTCTGTGCCCAGTGCCCTGGAGGCGGCCAGGGGATGAGGTTCTGACTGGGCCAGCTCCAGCGGCGGGTGGGAGTCAGGGCCAGACAGACCCGTGTCGTTGAACCGGTCCCGCCCCTCTCCTGCTGCACGGCCTTCATGTGTCACTCAGCCGCTCCGAGCCTCAGTTTCCTCGTGTACAAAATGAGAGCAGAAACTGGGCCCACCTACAGGGCTCTGGAGAAGACTGAGTGTGTGGGAGACGGAATGTGAATCGAGATGAAGAACGTGTGTTCTCTTTGGAGCTGGGCAAGGGAGAGCCTCTGATGTGGAAAGAATCCCTTGATGAGCTCACTCAGGGTTGAGCCGCCAGGACCTGGGTATTGACTGGTAACGGCTTCAGAGGAAGGCAGAAGCTGCTCTGCCCTGGGGAGGGGAGGAAGTGAGGGCTGGTGGGGGTGGGAGATGGAAGGGCAACTGGAATGGAAGTGGTGTGCACAGCACCCTTCCAAGTGACCTCATGCCCAATTCTTCCAGGGAACATTCGAGAAAAGCTGGGTGAGGCTGGATCCCTAACGGACGCTGGTAAAAGGATAGGAGCCTTGGGTCCAGATGCTTGCGGCCACCCAGAGACAGCAGGGACAGTGATGGGCTGAGGGGGAGGAGCCTGTCGCTCTCACAGGCGGTCACAGAAGTCTTCTGGAAGGACTGGGGCTTCAGAGGGGCGGGGGTTGGTGGTCAAGGAAAGTTCACTTTCAATTCAGACAAGTTTAGCACAAGGCACAGCCTCTGGTAGCATGCAGTGAATGGCTGCTCTGAGAAGTGTTAGCATTGTCCTGTTAGCGGGCCGGGAGAGAGGGTGTGAGGTCGGTTCCCCAGGGAGACAAGGACTGAAGAAGTGGCGTCTCCCGCTCTCTAACTCCTGCTGCCTTTGACAAAGAACTAGTCTGACTGGGGGCTATGAACAGTACCTGAAAAGGTGGGCCACTGAGCCAGCCAGCCCATTCCAAATTTTCACGTTATCTTACCCTATTGACCATGTAGGCTTTTGTGCCTTTACATGCAGCAACATAAATCATTTGTACTGTGCCTACAGATTAAATGCAGTTGCTGTAGTTTCTGGAACTCCGAGGGAGGGAAACACCACTGTCCCTCCTTGCTTTGCATGGAGGGAGCTTCTCAAGGTCTTCTCTCATGGTTCCCCCTGCTTGCTGTCCTCACCCTCATCTCTGACGCTCTGCATCCCACCGAACCTTCCAGGTCCATCTCAGATGACACTTCTTCATAAATACTTCCCTGACCCTATAGCCAGAGGCTGCCTCTCAGCTTGACAAGAGAGAGGTGCCCTCTCTTGTGGCACTGACCAGTACCAGTTCCTGAAGGTCACAGTGGCTGCAGAGTGGACCTGTGACACTTACAACAGACATGCCCGGGCACGTCTTTGCAGATGCCCAAATCACAGCCTTCATTCGTCACTGTGGAAATTGCTTCTATACAACTTGGATGTTCGGTTCAAGAGCTAGTTTCACTTCTGTTTCACTTGACACATCTCTTCAAGCACCTGCTTTCTTATGAGACCCATTTAGCTTCTACAGAGCAGCACCGTCTGTACCCCTCACCGGAGTCACTGCAGTGAGGACTGCCATCCGGTAGGGCTTTCTGCAGTGACGCCAGTCTGTGCCTGCTGGCCCGTGGGGCAGCTGCAGGTGTTACTGAGGTTTGGAGTGTGGCTACTGTGACTGAAGAACCGACTTTGTAATTGTATGTTCACTTTCATTCATTGGAGACTCAAACAGCCCCCTGTGGCCAGTGGCTCCCGTTTTGGACAGTGCAGGCGCAGACTCCGACCCAAAGAGAATTGCACGAGTAGGGGCCAGGCTCCCCCCCACCCCCCTGGCAGCGGACACTGGTCTCACACTCATGTCCTCAAGGGGCGTGTGATTCGAATACACCGCTCCACTGCATTGCAGCTGCCCTCCCAGGGAAGAGTAGGAGGAGTTCAACTGTTTGGCTTGCCCAAGGTGGACCGTTTTCTTATTTTACCTTCACCTCCCTTTCAGAGAGTCTTTCAGAGAACATGTGTACAATTAATACTGGAGGAGGGAACGAGTGGGGATCTTACGAAACATAGCTGTGCTTTTGCAAGACTAGCAGCCCTGTCTCTGCTTTTAAAATCAGATACAGTGGTGTTTGGGGCGAGGATATCAGGAGACTGAGAAGAATCATTCAATAAATATTGAGTGGAGGCACCTTCTGGTGCACAGTGGTCGCAGTGGAGGATGACACACAAAGGCAGTTTCTTTCCTCCCTCACAGCACAACAGCTCTGGGATCTTTGCTGAACTTATTGGTGTGGTCTGGTGTTTTGACTTCAATTGTGTCCCCCCAAAAAGATGTGTTGATGTCCCGATCCCCAGGACCTCAGAACGTGCGCTATCTGGAAATAGAGTTATCGCAGATGTAATTAGTTGGGGTACGGTGTGAGGTCACAGGGCAG